GCACATTGAAGGCTGTCTATGTTGGTGGTCCCTAATCCTGGCCTGAGCTCAACCCCGAATTAGAACGAAAAATACAACAGGTGACCACAATTGATATATAGTAAATGCACTTGTTCACCCTTTAACTTTGTTCAATTTTTTTATAGCAAGATCAGTTTTGGAATATATTAAATTCGAAGCTGGTCGTCCGTCTGTCCGTCCGGCGTTCAAAGTTGGTAGTCGCTTTGGCAAGACACCTGGGCATGCCTGACTGGTCATGCCATAAAGTGATGATTCTCCCTCGTTGGATTGGATGCGCAATGCTGTGGCTCCGGATATTTCCTTTTTTAATTTTATTTTAAGCAAAATTGTTTTTTTTTTTTTCAAATGTTCATGCACCTTCAGTTGGTTTCTGTTTGTATTGTATTGCTGTTTCGTGTTGTCTTTCAAGTTCAAATCAATATTCCGCAATAAAAAAAATTCGAATTGAAATTAAAAAAAGATGTATTTTCTTCACTCCAATCAGGGCCACACAACCAATCTTCATCAAGCGTCAAATCAAAAAAGGAACGAAATTTATCCATTTCGTAAGGAAGAAAAGCTCCTGTCATCATCTTTTATTCTTTTGTTTATACTTTATTCCAAGGTAGATATACAAGGTAGCCGCATCGGGGAATTTCTACAACAAACATCGGTTGTTGTATTTTGATATGTCAAAAATATTTTGCCAAAACAAACAGATTGTCAAGATTTTTTTACACAAATTCTTGTAGAAAATGTTAATAAAAGTATTGCCAAAAAAGCTCTTCGAAATTCGGAGATTTTCATTCATAATTTTGTTTTTTTAATTTTTTGGTTCAACATTACAACAACATTTTTGACATTTATTTGTCCAACAGCTGGGCCGATGCGGCTACCTTATTAAATATACCTTGCTTTATTCCAATTTTGTCAGTCGTGTTTTGTTTGACATTATCCACAAACATATGGTTTGACTATTGTGAATGATCGTAAATATGCATGCTTCTTCTTATTCCCAATAGCAAACAGAGGCGCACCCCACAGTATTTCCCTCTTAACGACTACTTTCTATGGTGCGATCAAGGTAGATATACAAGGTAGCCTCATCGGCGAATTTCTACATAAAACATAGGTTGTTGTATTTTGATATGTCTAAAATATTTTGTCAACACAAACAGATTGACAAGATTTTTTTACACAAATTCTTGTAGAAAATGTTAATAAAAGTATTCCCAAACAAGCTCTACGAAATTCGGAGATTTTCATTTATAATTTTGTTTTTTAATTTTTTGGCTTAACATTAGGTGTTTCTGGTAACTTTTCTAGTAACATTTATTCAGTAAGTTCTAGTTCAGAGAGTAAGCCTTTCCTACTCTCTTTTGCGATAATACTGAAAAAAGTAAACAGACAACATTTAGTAAGATTTAGCAAATAAACAGCTGATTCAAGAAAACATTTGATAAACAACAAACAAAGGACGAACACAATTATTTGTATTGCATTTAATATTAAAAATAAAATGAATAATAAAGAAAAAAATGATCTGGTATGTTCCCCGGGAACATTTAAGCTCCCTGTATCAATACTTTGCATTACTTACGAATTTTCTTCCATTTTCTGTAATTAACTTCAAATTGAACTTTGCAAATTAAAAAAAAAATTTTAAATAATTTTTGTGTTTTGTCAGAAAAAAGCTGATCAGAAAATGGCTGAGTTGCAAAATCTTACTGAATAAAATTCTTTCAGTAAACTCCAGCAACTTTGTTGTTGTTCAACTGTCAAATTTGCTCTCTCACTTGACTCTCTTTTACTGGATTTTTGTGTAGACAGACAACATTTAGTAACATTTGGTAACAACTGTTACCAAATATCGAGTTAACAGACAGAGCTATTACAACAACATTATTGACATTTATTTGCACCAACAGATGCGGCTACCTCATTAAATATACCTTGGGTGCGATTCTGTAAATGGGTAAGCAGAATGGATAATAACCGTTAATTAACGAACATATTCGAATGTTAACGACTGATGGTGTTTTTACACGATATGTATTTTACATATGTGCTGTCACTTTTTTGCATATGGAAATCGAACTCGTCATGTGAAACATACGGAAATTTCAATGTGTCAAAACGATATGCAATTACATATGTATTTTTTTCCGAATAGGACGGGTTCTATTTTCGTATGTGAAACATAAGGAAATCAGCTGTTTGAATGAAACACATTGTTGGAAGAAAATATTTCAATTGCAAGTCAAAGAAAAGGCAACAATTACAAATTATTATTTCGTTTGTAGGTGTTTAATAAAAAAAGATGTTGATTTAAGAAAAAATAAAAGTGATTTTTTTGTTTATAGGTTATGTCATATGTAAAATACATATGCCGATTTGAACACAAAAATAAATGTTTTGTGTACGCAGCTAATTTTGACACACATAAGGAATTACATATGGATGAAATAAGTGACAGCACATATGTAAAATACATATCGTGTAAAAACACCATAATGTAGTCGCTACTTTACACTTATAGTACGTTTACATTTAACCGGATTTCGATAAGCCAGTGGGTTTCAATAGTCAATTCCCTTGCATATATGTCAAATAAATCCTCATAAAGTTGGTTATCCCGGTAAAAAAGTTCTAATGTATATGCCGTATTATATAAATGTTAACATAAGTTCCGTTCCAGAACCTAAAAGAATCTACTCATTTTACATGTTTTGCAACTTTTTACTCAACCCACAACCCTGGTAAAACATTGAATCAAATTTAAGAGAGCACAGAACAAAATGGAGTTCTCTTTGTAAACTTTTTACTCGAGAAATTTGGCCGAGTAAAAATGGTAAACAGGAATGCCTACTTCTGATTGGCTGTTATGTTGATTTTGAAGTATTGCCGATGTTACATATTATTCAATTTTCATAATTGGTATGTTTCTGTTCTTAATTATAGAAGGTAGTCTAATAGTACGTTTACATTATTCCATTCCATTGTGTATTTGTCAAATAAATCCTCATAAAGTAGGTTAACCCGGTAAAAATGTCTAATGTAAATGCCGTTTAATACGCTAAATCGACGAAGGCAATGCTTTAAATTTTCGGCAATCCTATGTTTCATTTTTCAATTTTGATATTATAACAAATTCCAGTTTTATTTGAAATGGCACAATTATTCAAGGTAGGCCAAAGCAAAATATTAATTAAATTATTTTCATATTGTGGCTTGTTATGCCAAAATCGTATACAAAAATGTATGTGTAATGTTTTGAAGAATATAAAAATGTATTCTAAAATCAATTTGTTTGCCGATTTCACAATATTGGTAAGAAAAAATTATGATTTGTGGAGAATATGATTTAGTTATTGATTCATCTAACCCGATTTTGAAACCCTGACAGTCCATTCATTTTTCGAGTTTTTAGTAAAATGTTAAAACTATGTCAAACGATGAATGTTATAATTTGAAAACAGATATACAGTGCCGCACAGAAGCGAGTACGTGTTTGTACTTTAGACACTAAAGTCAAAAACGTTGGTTGTATTTTGTTAGGTATTTTATACTTACCAAAACGACCTGAACTTATAAATTTAGAACTTAAAACTCCTTGTACATTAGAACTTTTTACCGGGTTAACCTACTTTATGAGGATTTATTTGACGTATATGCAAAGGAATAGACAATTGAAACCCACTCGGTTAACGAAATCCGTTTAAATGTAAACGCACTATAAATCTCTGACAAAAAATAAGAAAAATAAATTAACCCCAATGTACTCACTTCTACATGTTCTTGAAAAGACATAATTGGCCTGTTCCCGTACATCATAAATCTGCTATTTTTTTAACATTTTGTGTATATCATAAAAATTGTCATTATATTAAAACTCGTAGATTCTTGCAGTACTGGAACAGACCAACCCAAGATCTATGGACTAACCCATGGCCTATAAATAAGGTCACCAAGGGAGACCAGCTGATTATCGATACCTCTCAAGTTTGCTGTCAAAATGCATTATTGTGAATTGACTTCCATTATGAAAACGTAAACAAAGTCCATGGCCTCTAAATAAGGTCACCAAGGGAGACCAGCTGATTATCGATACCTCTCAAGTTTGCTGTCAAAATGCATTATTGTGAATTAACTTCCATTATGAAAACGTAAACAACGTCGAAATTTTTGACATTAGACTTGAGAAAAAACAGCAGTTTTCCGATTTCGATTGCTATCTTGGTGACCTTATTTATAGGCCATGACAAAGTCGAAATTTTTGACATTAGACTTGAGAAAAAACAACTGTTTTCCGATTTCGATTGCTATCTTGGTGACCTCAAGGTAGATATACAAGGTAGCCGCATCGGCGAATTTCTACAACAAACATCGGTTGTTGTATTTTGATATGTCAAAAATATTTTGCCAAAACAAACAGATTGACAAAATTTTTTTACACAAATTCTTGTAGAAAATGTTAATAAAAGTATTGCCAAAAAAGCTCTTCGAAATTCGGAGATTTTCATTCATAATTTTGTTTTTTAATTTTTTGGTTCAACATTACAACAACATTTTTGACATTTATTTGTCCAACAGCTGGGCCGATGCGGCTACCTTATTAAATATACCTTGGGTGACCTTATTAATAGATCTTGGACCAACCGTTGACACATTTTTTGTTGTAATCGATTACTGAAAAATAATCTAGATAAACGGAGGAGATTTTGTTCTTACAGTTTATTTCAGTGAACACTTCCATTGAACTGCTTTTACACTGTAAACAAAAAATCAATGTCCGAAGCTTCTGAAGAGAATATAAAATAATTGTAAACTGATACTGCATTTCATGTTTCTTTATATTGCAACTCTTTTAAACGGATATCTGCAGTTCTTGAAGTACAACAGTTTATATTTTAGAACCCAACATAGTATCTTATATCCCCACTTGCAGGGGTTCTCGCTACAGTGTCTATATATAAACTACTATTGGAAGAGTGTTGAAAATGTCCCACTCCATGGGAGAATTTGCCCGTTGCTTCCTGTGTCGTAAAAAACACACTGCTTCTCACAAAATTATTGATGGCAGCGTATGTCCAGCATCTAAGAAGAGCGTGAAAACTGTTCTTTTACATTTGGCTCGTTGTGGAAAATTTCAGCTGCTGGTATCCAAAGGAGAATGGTTGTGTCGTCAATGTTATATTAAGATTGTGGACTACGACACAACTTTCATGAATCTCACCCGTAAGCAAAAACTGCTTACCACATTGGTTGAGAAAGCTGTAACGACAATTGACAGCGATATTGAAGCAGAGTGCCTCCAAGAAATGTCGCACATGGAGGAATTTAATGACGAACACTTCTTCGATGACGCCAATGTCTCTGACCGAGAAATAGCCGAAACAATTTTTGAAGTCATTGGAAATGACAGTGGAAAAAGGAGAAAAATTGCAAATTATGGGAAACAAAGACTAGAGAGAAACATGGAGTCAGCTGGTACTGATAGTGACGAAGACCCCGAGTCACTGGGAGAAAATGAAACAATACAGTGCAATCTCTGTGCAATGAGATTTAAAAATCGAACCCAGCATCAAAGGCATGTCGTTCAAGTCCACAAAAAGTTTAGTTGCAAAATTTGCTCTTTCAGTCACAGGAACGAGGACTACGTGCTGCTGCACATGAACATACACGAGGGAAAAAGTGAAAATCAGTGTCGTTTTTGTAATAAAGAGTTCACGACCAAAATTAGTACAATCCGACACATGGAAGTGCATATGGACACGAAGAAGTATCAATGCGACAAATGTGGTTTAGTGTTTTCCCAGACAACAGTTCTCTATAACCACAAGTTGCAGCACGAAGCCGAAGAGAGGCCGCTACGTTGTGAAATCTGCAATCAAATATTTAAGACCAAGCGGACGTTCCGTCATCACATGGTTACTCATCGGGCAGACAGGCCGCGATATAGTTGTGAATATTGCGGAAAGACTTTTACTGAGAAATATACCCTAAAGGTTCACAAACGTACACATCCAGAATCAGGCGCAGTGGCAGTAAGTCAGAACGATTCTACGCAACAGCAATACCAAAACCACCAGACTCAACCTGTCCAATATCAGGAACACCAGGTCCAAACATATAATAATTCACAGGTGGTGTATACACATTCAACGACGCAACTTCAACAACCTTCGACTTCGTCCAACAATAGTGGGACGAAATTTGCTTGCATTATTTGTGATCAGCATTTCAGTAGTAAAGATAATTTGAATAAACACATGGAAAAGGAGCACGATGTTATACTAAAATCCCTGAGTATTGCAAATTTCACGCAGTACGAAGTTGTTTCAAATGATTCACGAAAAGCTTGTCACATATGCGGTCAAATATTCAGTGCCCAACATAATTTAGATTATCATCTTGTAAATGTACATGAGGTTACATTAAAATAAACTACTAATAAATAAAGTTGAAATTATAACATTTAAGTTTTGTTTATATTTTTTGGTTGGTTGAGATTAAAATAGTATATTTCTAAAATAATACTGTAATGTTTGGGTTGTACAAAAAATTTTAGACTTCTTAGCAAAGAGAATATTAATACTGAAAGCATTCAATAGAATTTTGCTGCATCAATGAATAAAAATGCTAAGTAAATAAACAGTTTCACAAATTTCTTATATTTTCAAATTTAACAAATTAGCGATTGATACATGATAGTACTAAAAAGGGACCCATTACACACTTGAGGAAACTAAAAAAAATATTTAATAGCTTAGAGTGTGGGTTATCAGTGTGGGTATATTACAAGTAATATAAAACAAGCATTATTTTTAATATTAGTAAAACGCCAAGATTGTTCTACAAACATTGTTTTTAATAGTTTAATAATTTATTTATTAAATTTAAAATAACATCAGGCCGTATTTAGCTATGCAATAAAAGTTTAGAACTTAAACAAATCACAACAAATACAAATAGTATATACCATAGAACTATAATGAATGGTTAAATGCGCATCTCTGCAAATTCATAAAGGCAGCTTGTTCTATTTGCATTCTAGTCGCTGCAAGTAAAACAAACATTATGAAATTACAGTATCGTTTTATAATAAACTGCGTATATTTAACTCGATTAAATAATACATGATCACGAATAATTAACTAGTGACGTCATAATTGCAATATACATACATAGCCATCGATTTCTGTTGTAGAATTGTTTATATAGTAATATTGTTTTTTTTTTGTTTGTTTATAGTAAGCATTTAATTTTACTTGACCTACATTTGGTATCTTATATTGTAATATTTATGTTCTTGCATAGACCCTTAAGGAAAATGAACGTCCATACTTAAGTTTGTACTATAAAAACAAAACGGTCAGCTTTATCTGTATGAGACGTCAGTCAGTCGTATTGTCGATTTTATATTAACTACTATTAATTTACAAATTTAACTAAAACATAGTAACTATGAAATTTTCAACAATGACTATGACATTGTTTTCTTTGTGTTTCCGAAAACAGCTTCGAGATGGAGTACAATGTGCATACCTTTGGCCATTGGTATCAATAAATCGTTGGGTGTATATCATCTGCATTATCGTCCATGTTTTTAATTCTCAGTTCGAATTTCCAAATACACGTTGGGCGTTATAACTTTTTTCATATTTTCATAGGCCGCATTCATGACACCCCAACTTACGAATGATCGTGCCGTATTAAATCCGCAGCCACGGTAGAAATGTGCAATGCTGTTACCACGTTCGCGATATATTTTTAAAAATGATTGTGTCATACTTTCTGCAGCGTGTCCCATATCACTTTGCATTGCCACCTTGATGACATTTAATGGATAAAATATTGTACTTATACTGGCTCCTATAATGGCACCGGAAACAAATTCTTGTGCAGCTTTTGTGGATAATGATGACTGTAAAAAAATACAAAGATTGTGAAGTTGCTAAATTTTAACATAGAACAATGGCATTCTAATTCTACTATTGACTATTTAAGACAAACTATTACCTAGGTTACTCATATATAAATATTTACTGGTCAACATGGGCGTGTATCTCTGTTCATTCTGTAGTGACTGATATATTTTTGGATAAATTTATATTTTTTACTACTCCAACAATCGATTTGATATAATAAATGCCAATATAAATCGATATTTACTCAAATACTGCAAAAATATTCCGGCCTTTTTCAATAAAGCCTTACGAAATCGAATCGTTCTATTAAGTTAATTCCCATATTTTGAGCTTTTTATTTCAAATATTTATTTATTTTAAGAAATATTTATCGCTTCTTCTGGTATGTTTGGAACATTATTTTCTATATTAAATGTGATTTTCCCGGTGTTACGTGTACTGTACAAATTGTAGCCAATTTTTATAAATTTTACAGATTTTTTTATTATATAATTATTTTTTGGAAAAATTGCGGTTTGAATTTAAAATTTTTTAAAAATATTTCAAACGAATTGAGTGCTGATCAAAAAATTGTTACCGTAGTTCATGTTTTAATTATGTGACCACCAATGTATGTACAAATTAATAAAATATTTATTTTTTAAAATATTTTTTTTTATACGTTATAGAATTACAAAAATTTGCGGTACCCATTTTCAATTACCATTAATTCCAGTATTTTAAGCGTTATTTTAAAATTTTTTTGATTAATGTCAATTAACTTACAATTAGGAATATTTAGTTAATATAACATCGCATTCAAATCAAAAGTATTCAAAAATGATTAGCGGTATTTTGAAAAACATATTTCGAAAGTGTCATACGACCCAACACAGTCTTACAAGCTATTCATAGGGTCCGACCACACAACAATGTAAAAGAATTGAAAAATATTTCGTATTGAAATCATTGCACTTTTCATTACGAATCTGATACATTCCCATTCAAAGTCTTATAGTCCAGGAATCATAGTAGTAAAAACGAAATGACTAGAAATGAATAACACATACAAAGTAGTCAAATTTATCTTTAAAAGGTGCACGAAAGAAAATTTACCAGAATTTGGTATTTTCTAATGTATATTATTTACAAATACGTTCGTTCATTCACATTTACATGAAACTTGCGAATGGAATGTAAGGAAGCCTTTAGAACTAATATTTATCAGGATAAATATTAATTTTAATATCAAATTTTTAATTTTAGAAATTAATAAATTTACACTTAACATTATACAAGTTTGTACTTACTCTTTGAGGTAAACGTTCACTAGCTTCTTCTCGCAATATGAAAAACAGTGCATTAGAAGGGCCATTTCTCCATAGTACAGGTACAATCCCTCTATACAGTTCCTTAAATCCATGATTTGTGAGAACGTATCTATAATTACCAATATACATAAATGATACATATATATGAATATGTAAAGCTCACAATGACCCACCTAAAAGCAAGATGCGTATTCGCAAAATGCTCATGATATTTCGAATGCGCCAGCAATGTCTGAACCCGCTCAAACGGCAATAAAATTGTTTCTACCGTTCCTGCTGCAATTCCGGCAATAATTTTTGCTTTGTACGCATTCATATGGTAGTCATCAACTAGATATCGCCTTGTACCATCAAAGATGCCGAACATCACTGACAGCGATATAGTTTTCTGGGCGAGAGGTGGAAACATACCGCGATACAAAAACATTAGTCCTTCATGCCGCAGCTGGCTAAATGCCGATGTTATGGGTACATCATGCAATATTTGTCGAAAAATCATTTTATATATAGGATATGTGATGCCAATATTTACGAAAGCAGCTCCACAACCGCAAGCAAACTCCCTCCAGTCGAACGAACCGAAGAAACGTTCGACGAATATACTGCGTCCAGGCGGAATGTTTACATTGTCGTGTGGTGTTTTTTGCCTAGTAGCCTGTGTTATATGGTTCGGTTCCACAACCATCGTACACTTTTATTTTGTTTTTATTTTTACTCACGAATTCCCAATGTATGCAAAATTATGAAACTGGCCGACGCTGCTAGCTTTTCAGCATTGTTTGTTGTTGTTCTGCAATGTCGTCAGCTGTTGATAGTTGTGCTAGCAAGCTGATTTCTTCTCAACAAGCGAAATCACTTCCCACCACACACTTTACCAGTTCTGAATTATTGAAAACATGATTATTAATTATATAATTGATTTTGAAATGTAAACACGCATATATTCCACAGCAAATAGTTTATATTAACATACGGGTTGCGGGTTCTTAACGACTATTTCTGTGCGGACAGGGTAACGTCACAGACTTGGGTGTCAATTTAAAAAAAAACCTAAGGGATGTAATGTGCGAGACAGGTCACGACGATTTCCAAAGAAAAAATAGAGTTGTGTAGTTCCGAAATGAACTAGTTCAAAGGAGGGACTCTGAAAAAAACCATCGGAACAATTTGCAGCATTTGTCTAGTTCTCTTAGTTCATTTACGTGGGGTTTGTGCATGTAACTTTTGTTAGTTCACTTTTCCACAGGCACATTTTTTGTTTTCTCTTTTGAAATTTTTGCTTGCTTTTCAACTAGCAAATTTTTCTTCGCCAAATTTGCGAATCAAAATACAAAAAGAAGAAAGAAAGAAACGTCAAAAGAGTTTACATTTCAAAATTTTTTTTAATATTTTATTTAATTTTTTTATATATTTTATTATATATATTGCAAAAATTAAATTTCACTTGCACAAATTAAAGCAACAGGTTTGTAAACAAAAGCCGACTGTGTGTCAGTAAAGCGAATAGGTTAAAGGAGACAACAAAATTGTTTTCAACGAACAGAGCAAAGCAGAATTTGCGTCTACCGCAAATTCTGAACAGGCAAATTTTTGTTTTTCTTCCTCGCACCCCTCTCGCCTACAAACTCTGAATTTGCCAAATAAAAATTTGTGGAAAAGGGGACTTAGCAGCACAAAAACATTTGTTTTTTACCCGATCATCTGTCGAATATATATATATATATAGGTTAGGTTAGGTTAGGGATGTACGGCTGTTGTAACAACCGTCCACTCGGAAACTATGTCCATTGTGATCATCCTTTATGAATAGGTGTACCTATAAAGAGAAAGAAGAAAAGATAGTGGAAGAGTAGAGAGAGAGGTAGTCAGAATGGGTGGGAGCGGAAGAGACATTATTTTAGCCAAGTCAATTTTTTGACAAAGCCTAGAATTAGGTTAGGGTCTATTTTGGAGAAGAAGACTAGATTATCAATTTCATAACATCCAAACTGTTTATGTCTTCTGCTGATCAGCGATGGACATTTGCAAAGGATGTGCTCAATTGTTTCCACTTCTTCTTCATCCTCACATAGACGACAGTAATCCTCTCCACTGGAGTCCCACTTAGAAGTGAGAGATCTAACTTTGCAGTGACCAGTAATGATCCCCACAACGATCTTAATCACCCTCTTGTTGTGATCCAGCAGCGAAGACGTTCTTATACGAGAGAATTCTGGCCAGATAGATTTAGAGATTCTGCATGCAGGTTCCCTTAGTCATCTGTTGCCGACTACCTCGCAATGGAACGCGCGGATTCTGCCAATGAAATAGCTAAAAGTACATTTACATATACGATTTTAAATCGACTCGATTAACGAAATCCAGAAATACACCCTAATTGTTTACACATACCCTTAATCATGATCTAAATGCCGATCAGCTGATGTTTGTTAGTATACATACAAAATTATTAATTTGCGCCAAAAATATTTGTTTGCAATTTGAAAAAGAATAGAAGAATTACCACAAAGGAAATGTTTTTGCAATACTGTGATCGTTTGGAAAGTAAAAAAAAACACCTAAAAACACAAAAATTCTATAATTAATTTTTATTTTCCTTTGATCTGTCATTTTTGTATTTGTCAGCCGTTAAATTTAAAAACAAACGGCATGTAAAAACAGTTGCAAATTTTGGTACATTGTGAGAGAGTTGTATTTTTTCATACAAAACCCGCGTTGCATCTCAGTAGTATCATGATTTCGATCATGATTTAAAATAAATCCTGCTGCACGATGATTTAAATTTGTGTGGTAAATCATGGTAAATTTAGCCTGATTAAGAAAATAAACCATGATTCAGCCTTTAATCATGATTAAATGTTATATGTAAATTCGCTTTAATAGGGGGTTTCACAGATCTCTCAATCAGAAGACTGGACGACTGTGACCCCCCTCGAGCAAGCTCGTCGGCTATCTCATTCTCTTCAATATCGTTATGTCCTGGAACCCAGCATAACCCAACTATTTGACGTATATCATTCAGAGCGGTTTTACAATCATGAACTACTTTCGAGTTTATAGTATGCGACTTCACAGCTTTCAGGGCCGCCTGACTATCTACGTAAATAGTCACCGGTCCTGTAATGTCTGTATTAAGTGCTTTTACTATCTCGGCCGCTTTCGTAATTGCAAGAATCTCTGCTTGAAAAACGCTACAATCATTGTTGAGTTTATATGAGTTTCGTATACCTAATTCCCTGCAGTAGACGCCTGCGCCAGTCTGTGAAGTATACAACCATTCCCTGTTAGGAAATTATAAATTCCGGGTCACTGATATGACTATCTAAAAAATAACTTGGCCCCATAACGATTTCTCTGCCTATAGCAGCCTGGAATTTGATCAGAATGTCCAATGGTTGGAGATTCAAGATTGCATTCAAGGCTGCTTGTGGTGTGCTTCTTAATGCTCCAGTGATCAGAATTGAAGCCGATCGCTGTACTAAGCTCAGTTTTCAGCTTCTTTTTATTCACCCCCTGCCACCAGACAAGACATCCATAAGTAAGTATGGGTAAGACAATCGTCGTATACAACCAGTGTATAATTCCGGGTCTCAATCCCCAACTCTTGCCCATGGAGTTCTTGCATGAATAGAGTGCCATCAATCCCTTCTTAGAGCGTTCCTCGACATTCCTATTCCACAGTAACTTGCGGTGTAGGACAGTGCCAAGATATTTAGCTTCATCAGAAAGGGTTAATGTCACTCCACCAAGTGATGGCAGACGGAAACTAGGAATTTTGTATTTCCTAGTGAAGAGTACCAGTTCGGTTTTTGTGGGGTTTACACCAAGACCTTTGGTGCAAGCCCAATTTGACAGGGTTGAAAGAGCACCCTCCAGGATGTCTGATATTGTCGTAATAAACTTACCCCCAACCAACAAGGCTACATCATCGGCATAGGCTACAACCTTTATCCTGAGATGATTGAATTTCATAAGTATCTCATTTATCACCAGAAGCCACAAAAGGGGGGAAAGAACTCCACCCTGAGGTGTGCCTCTGTTGACAGATTTCCTCACGGAACTCTCTCCTAGGGATGAGTTGATAATTCTGCTTTCCAGCATTCTATCAATCCATTCCGTAAGGAGTGAGGGGATACCTATGTCTAGAGAGCAGAATGGATTGCCTCTAGCTTCACATTGTTGAAAGCTCCTTCGATGTCGAGGAATGCTGCCAACGTGTAGCCAGAGGACTCCATATTCTTCTCGATGTATCCAACCACCTCATGCAGAGCTGTATCCACTGATCTGCCCTTGATATAGGCATGCTGGGATTTACTAAGTTTATTACGGTCAATGGTATCTCTAATTTCTCAGTCTAGTAACCTTTCTAAAGTTTTTAGTAGAAAGGAAGAAAGACTAATCGGTCTATAGTCTTTAGGTACCGTATGACTCGGCTTCCCGGCTTTCGGGATGAAGGTCACGGTAACCTCTTTCCATAGACTGGGTATGTACGACAAAAGTAAACAAGCCCTAAAAATGTCCTGCAGATATGATATTATCCGTTCATCTGCGTGTTGCAGCATGGCCGGTGTTATACCATCTGGACCAGGAGATTTGTAGGGTTGAAAACTATTTATCGCCCATATCATTTTTGGGTATCTTATAGTGTCTTCTATCATCTTCTCCTCTTCCCTCGTCCGAACTGTAGGCTGATGCACACACTGCGCATCTTCCCTATAGTCCTTACAACCAGGAAAGTGGGTTGATGATAGAAGATCAAGAGTCTCACTACCAGAGTTTGTCCACGTTCCATCACTTCGCTTAATACTTCCTATGGATTTTGGATCCTTAGAGAGTACTCTGCGGAATCTGGCCGCTTCGTTGACTCCTTCGATCGACTCGCTATAGCAGACCCAAGACTCACGTTTAGCTTTCTTGATTTCGCCCTTGTACCTATTGAATTGTCTTTTATAGACATCCCAATCTGTACTGAGCTTTGTCTTACTAGCTCTATTATAAGCTTTCCTTGCAGCCTTCCGCAAGGTTGCAAGGTCCTGTGACCACCATACCGGCTGAGATTTCTTCCCAGGGTATGTTAGAGGACAAGATGCCTCATAGCTCTTCAGAAGAGTGGCCGTGACATTTTTCACAGCTAATTCAACATCCTCAACCGTTTTGAGATCATTACGATCCCGAAAAGAGGCTGCTGTTTTAGCTTTGAATTTGTCCCAGTTCGTCTTCCGAGGATTCCTATAAGGTTTCTGTTTAGCTCTAGAGGTAGGAATCTGGAAGGATATGAGTCTATGATCCGAGAAGGAACATTTCTCAGACACCTCCCAGTTTACGACCCCAGAGTCGTCCATATTTGTGAGGGTTATATCGATGACTTCACCTCTCACCCTATTAACAAAAGTTGGTGTATTGCCTCTATTACAAATTCTAAGATTATAGCTAAGTATAAACTCGAAGATGGACTCACCTCTTGTGTTTGTGTTGCTGCTTCCCCAATAGAAGTGATGTGCGTTGGCGTCACATCCCAAGATGATATCACCAACTCTGCTCATCTCCTCCAATAGGCGGCATACAACAGTGCCGGGTGGGTCAGGAGCTTCATAGGGAAGATAGACGGCAGAGACTATCAGTGGCTTCGTGGTACCTCTGTCTAGTCTTGCTGTCGTCATATCTCCATTGCTGAAATTAGAAAGA